TCATCTTCATAGCTAAAGACTAACCACTATTTGCAGAGAGATGCCCAGAAAAACAATGGAATAAGGAAGGAAACTTCACCAAAAACATTCTTCCGAAGGTGTCAACAAATAGCTTCATCCTTATCTTTCTCCTGCTTACGTGCAGTAACAACTTCTTGCTCCTTGTCATTCCCCTTGACATTTTTTGGGTGACAAAGCAGACGACCAAGTAGACCTTAAGCCAAATGAAAAGCTAAAGACTAATTGCTAGATGCAGGAAAATGCAAAATGCAAAAGAGCAAATGTAACTCAGATGAGTCAAGACATTTTGAGGCTCTGTCCTAGCTTGGATTTTTCCACCCGGAAGGCATTTCTACAAAGCATGAAAGCTTACAACAAGATTCATGGTAAGTTCTTCAAAGAAAAGTTTAGAAAGACTGACACGTACATGAGCATTTTGAGCTATATTCAAAAAGTAGTCTGTGAGGCTCATCCGTTATAAAGAGATATCCGTCAGGAACCTGAAGCTTGTTGATAGCCAAAACTCATAGCAAATACCATTAACTATTTACCATTAACTTATTCCAGTCGTCTAGCGGCGGGAGATAATTCCGGTTTAGGGTGAGGGCATTTTGTAGAGCTTGTTGGAAGGCGAGGGCGGCAGCACTAGAAGGGAGCTAGAACAGAATGCGATTCGGTTTGTGAAAATCTCTCCTCTTTTCTCCTAGATTTTAGGTCCATTTCGCTGGCAGCTTGAAATGTGATTTGATTCGTGGGTGTGCTGGATGCCACGCCGCTGGAGGAGCAACTCGTTCACATTCTTTCCCAGTTACCAATGACTACCAGCGCTAGTAGCGGCCGGCTGCAGCTTGCCACTGACGGCTCGCTTTGCATCATGGAAGCGCTGGAGCAGCGAAGATCCACTCTTGATCAAGGTGACCACCACATTCTTTTTTCTTCATTTTTTTTCATGGTTTCAAAGCTTCTTTGCAGCCAAGCCTGGCATCTGTAATGCCACTTATTTTCTCCCATTTTTCTTTCTTTCTCCTGCTTCTATCTTCTATCTGCTTCTTCTTCCTCTTTTGTTTGCGTCCTGGCACTAGAATTATTCTTTCTCTTGGATGATACTGTTGTTCTAATCAATTCCTGCATAGATCAATCGCCAACAAGAAAATTAGAGGAGGCATTCCAGTTTTGTGAAATTTCATCACCCATCCTTGACTTTGGGAAGCATGCAGGGCAAAAACTAGAGGATGTAGACGATGGATACCTCCAATGGATGGCACAAAGGTTTGGTAGTGAGAAAAAAGTGAAATGGAACGAATGGGGTGCAAAAACAATCAAGGAATTATCTAGAAGGCTTGGTTCTGAAGTGGCTGTTGTGGCTATAGCACAAGAGCATGGAGGTGAGCACGGCACTTGTCCTTCTTGCCAAGCTATGAAAGAAGCAGTAGAAGCAGCTTTGAAAGCTTATCAAGCTTTGCAGACAGCATTAGATCATTGTCCATGTAAAAAAAAATGTAAGAAATGACACTTCCAAGCCTAAACAATGCTATGATTGCACACAATTTACTTGGTTGGAAATTCCAAGTTTAGGAGAGTTTTTGGACTTACAACAAGAAAATCATTTACTCTAACCATAAACACCAGATACAATCCTTTGAGCAGCCTGGGGAGGGGACACACTCTGTCGGCAATGTCCAGCTCCCCTCCTACTGAGCAAGTACTGATCAGCTTGCCCAATTTTTTTGTAATTAGTCCCTAAGGATATATGGAATGTATATGCATGTTTGTATTTTTGGTAAATTGAGTGAATAGGCTTGTACATCTGACCCCTCTCCATCTTCTGACCTCAAAAATCTGACTTACAGAAGGCTGAAAAAAACCTTGAGCAGTAGTTTACAAGCCACCATTTCCTACTAGGGTTTCTAAGGTTTAGCTATGGCCCATAATTCTGACATTTATATGTCCATACTTATGCCTTGATTTAATCTTCATTTCTTAAGGTTCTTAAGTGCTTGTGCTAAACATTGCTATGGCAATGTTTTTTCTTTAGGACACTAGCTTTAAGTTAAGTTCTTGGCCATTAAAGAGTGGTAATACTCATTACTATATAAATCAATTATTTTATATGAGGCAACTAATTATGCACTTATACTATAGTCCTACGGTGAATTTTTTTTTCTAGGCTCATGTAGCTTCTTGGTTATGGTTTTAGGGTTTAGCATTTAGGAAACCCTAAACCCTAAACCATGGACCCTAAACCCTAAACCTAGGATGGGAAGTTCCCAAAGGAAATCTTAGAGGGACAGATTGCTCTCCTACTAAAGCGAGGGGACTTGAAAGTATCTAGTATCATCAAGTTATTAAAGCCATCAATCTAGTAACTAGAATATTCACTTTTTTCTTTGTTTTCTTTATTTTATTTTTTCCTCATACACCACTTCATCTATTATTATAATTAGTCTAAATCATTTTAAATAATGTTTTGCCCACCCATCCACTCACTATACCAATATATAACACTCATTATAGTTGCATTATTCAAGTTTCTCATTATATATTTCATTTAGGGATGTCATTTTATCACAATCCTTATATGAATGGTCTTGAGTAATTGGAATTAGGGTTTAGTGTTATATTCAGGTTTAAGGTTTTTAGTTCGATTATCCCTAAACCCTAAACCCCAAACCCTAAACCAGGGCAAACTAACCTTTTAGGGTTTAGGTTTAAGGTTGAAATGACCCTAAACCACATAAAACCATATAAAACACTAGGGTTTGTTAAACCCTAAAGCTAGTGGATAAGTCTCAGTTATTTCTTTTCTCATAAGAACTCATTACATCACTTCATCTATCATTATAATTAGTTTAAAACATTTTAAATAATGTTTTGCCCACCTATCCACTCACTATACTAATATATAACACTCACTATAATAGCATAAATCACGTTTCTCATTATATATTTGATTTAGGGATCTTTTTGTCATAAGCCTGACGTGAATAGTCTTGAACAATCAAATTTAGCATTTAGGGTTTAGGGTTTAAACCCTAAACCATGGCAAAGACCAGGGTTTAGGGTTTGAACCCAATACAGCTATAATATAGTTGATATTAAGAACCCTAAAACCTGGTTTCTCATTATATATTTATTTATTTAGGATTGGTTTAGGGTTTAGGGTTTAGGGTTTAAAATAAAACCCTAAAGCTAATGGACAAGTCTTAGTTATTTTCATCATTCAATCATATTTATCCATACATAATTTAATTACACTATAGTTATAACTATAGTTATACCTTGATTGAATCTTCATTTTTTAAGGTTTATTAGGTGATTGTGTTAGTGCTCAAGATTACTATGGCAATGTTTTTCTTTGCAACACTAGTTTAAATTAAATTCTTGGCCACTAAAGCAATTATTTTATATAAGGTAACTAATTATTTACTTATACTATAGTCCTACAGTGAATTCTTTTTCTGGGCTACTACCTTTTAGCTAGGTTCTTCGCTATTGATATATTAGTTTATTCCTAGAGATAAATTAAGAACCCTAGAATTTAGGGTTTAGGGTTTATGCCTTTGAAACTACTTTAAACCCAAGGGTAAACCCTAGGGTTTTCACCTTAAACCCTATAATAAGTTTGGCTTTCCTTTATAGTTTTCAAGTGGTAACAATTCATTAGAGCCATTAGTCTATCAAATAACCAAAGTATTAACTAAAATATTTTGTTATTGTAACCAATTATCTCACAATATTTCTCAATATATTGTGCATTTACTAAATTTAAACCCTAAAGTTTTATGTGGTCATTTTAAAGCCTAAACCCTAAATCCTAGGATTCCTAATGATTGCTCAAAGACCATTCACATAAGGTTTATGATAAAATGATATCCCTTAATAAATAAATATATAATGAGAAGCTTGAATTATGCAACTATAGTGAGTGTTATATGGGTGGGAAAAATGTTATTTAAAATGACTTAAGAGTAATTATAGTAATAGATGAAGTGACATGATGAGTTTTTATGAGAAAATCAATAAATAAAGAAAAAAAACAAGACATAATTGAGGGTTTAGAGTTGAAGGTATGTTTTACATTGGTCTTTACTTTATCAGTTGACCTTGTTCAATTTTCCAGGTTCCGCATCAAAGCAATGCTATGGATTGTGGAGTCTACATAATGCACTTCATGGAGACATTCATAAAGAAATCTCCTGATAATCTTGTGATGGAGATTGTAGATAAAATGGTATGTTGATAATTTTTTTTTTTTGTATTGGTCTCTAAATTTGGGTTCTTTTTAGCTTTCCTCCAAGAAAATCATGCTTAGAAACCAGATATGATATGAAATTCTAAAAGTCACTGCAGAACAATCTCCAGACGCTGTCTCCTACAACTCGATCATCTCGGCTCTTGGTCACAACTCCCAGCCAAGGCAAGCTCTCTTTTGCTTTCGGTGCATGCTGCTTGACGGCAATCTATCGAGTCTAATCACATTCATCTCTGTCGCTCACGCTTGCGGGTGTATAGGCGACCCTAGGCTAGCTATGGCTCTCTGTTTGCTGATTCGAGAGTGTAGCGGAGTCACGACTAGCGATTCGGTTTTGAGATCGGCTATTGTGATGCATGGAAGATGTGGAGATGTGGAGATGTGGAAGTAGAAAGGGAGGCTTAAGAATCTTATGCAAAGGAGGAGCTAAGCTGCACATCAATGGTTGTTGTGTAAGTTCTTAAACTTTAGACGTCTTTTGTTGATAGCCAGCTTTAGGTTCCTGACGGTTATCTCTTTATAACAGATAAGCCTCACAGACTACTTTTCGAACATAGCTTAAAATGCTCATGTACGTGTCAGTTTTTCTAAACTTTTCTTTAAAGAACTTACCATGAATTTTGTTGTAAGCTTTCATGCTTTGTAGAAGTGCCTTCCGAGTGGAAAAATCCAAGCTAAGACAGAGCCTCAAAATGTCCTGACTCATTTGAGTTACATTTGCTCTTTTGCATTTTGCTTTTTCCTGCATTTAGCAATTAGTCTTTAGCTTTTCATTTGGCTTAAGGTCTACCTGGTCGTCCGCTTTGTCACCCATAGCTTCATCCTTATCCTTCTCCTGCTCACATGCAGTAGCAACTTCTTGCTCGTCGTCATTCCCCTTGACAGTTTTTTTTTACGCCTTTGGAAGAATTTTTTTGGCAAAGTTTCCTTCCTAATTCCATCATTTTCCTTGGCATCTCTCTGCAAATAGTGGTTGGTATTTAGCTATAAAGATGAGTAACTAAATAAACATAAAAATTTACTTTTTCTTTGTCCGCATTTCCATCCATGCGAGTTCTTTCTTGCTGTTCTTGGCTTTCTCCCTCCACCAGAGTTTCTCTTTCTCTTTCTTCATGCTCGTGCTGCACAATATAGGGAGATAAGAACAAGAACTAGTTTATGCAATAAGCAAATTACCACTTCCTGCTCACATCATTGTCGCTCCTCCTCATTGTTCCTTATTCCATCATCTCTATGAAAATAGTGGTTAGTCTTTAGCTTGTTTGAAGACGAGTAACTAAATAAACATAAAACTTTACCTTTTCTTTATTTGCATTTTCATCCACACGAGTTCGTTCTTGCTATTCTTGGCTTTCTCCCTCCACCAGAGTTTCTAGTTCTCTTTCTTCATGCTCTTGCTGCGCAATAACGAGGGCTAAAGGCTCAGTCTTTTTCTTCTTCTGTTCTCGCTCCTTAGTTCGCATTTCCTCTTTCTCTGCAGAAAAAACAGAGTAAAACTGTTTCAAAAAAAAATAAAATTACCAGCTCCTGCTCATGTTGAGTAGCACGTAATCGTCTATCCTGCTTCTTGTTGTCATTCACCAGCATCAATTCCGTGTAGTGTTTTTTCCATGTTTTAATACCTTGCAGGATTTTTATTTTTTGGCTCTCTTCGTCCTTGATGTGGCTATACTTCATGTTTAGAAGCTTGAGCTTCTGGTTCTCTAGTCTGCGTGGCAGCACTTCATTCTGCACCTGATTTTCTAAATCCTGCATAACAAAAATTTGCATAAAAATTCGAATGAGATTTGAGGAAAAAAAATTCTGCACTTGGTACTTCCTCGAGGAGGACTCCTGCTTAGTCTTCCTCCCGTTTCCATTTCCTGACTTTAGCATTGTCAACTGGAAAAAACAATATTAGAAAAGAAAAACATACAAAAAACGTACGATTTCACGGTTGTGAATTCTGATCCTACATTGATTCAGAGCTGCCTTATTGAAAAATTGCTGATCGCAAACTCCATCCAGGGGGTGAGCAAGGACATTCTCAAGCTTGCATACATATGGCTTGTCGTCTCCATCCTCAAAACACTCCCATTCATTTGCATCGCTAAATGCGTCGATGTCTTCCTTGGCCGAGGCGGCTCTGCGCATCACTAAAAAATTGCCGAAGATGAGCAACCAGATTTTAAACAAAAGTAAAAACTAAAACCAAAAACCCCTTCACGGGTGTGCATCTATGAAAAAAAACAGCCATAAGCAGCCTGAAATGAAAAGAAAGAATCCTTTTGTGAGAAATGAAAGAAAGAGGAAACGCCACACTTGAGCTTCCTACTGAGGATCTTGATCGGCGGCTCAAGTAGATGCCACAGATAAGCAGCCCATTGATGAACAAAAGCCAAGAGACAGACCAAAGACTAAAACCCTCATTAGGCATCCGTTTTCACCGAAACAAAATCTATGTGACAGAGAATCTTACCCATCTGGACACCTGGAATGTAGGCTAGATCTTGGGATCGATCAATCTCTAGCTTCCCCAGCACCGCCGCCCTCGCCTTCCAACAATACCCTCACCCTAAACCGAACTCTCACCGCTAGAATAAGGTTATTGGCAAGGGTTTTGGCTATCAACAAAAGATGTCTAAAGTTTCTGGTTTTGAATGTACGCAGCAACCATTGACGTGCAGTTTAGCTCGTCCTTTGCATAAGATTCATAAGCCTCCCTTGCTGCTTCCACATCTCCACATCTTCCATGCATTGCAACTATAGCCGATCTCAAAACCGAATCGCTGGTCGTGACTCCGCTACACTCTCGAATCAGCGAACAGAGAGCCACAGCTGGCCTAGGGTCGCCTATACACCCGCAAGCGTGAGCGACAGAGATGAATGTGATTAGACTCAGTAGATTGCCATCAAGCAACATGCACCGAAAGAAAAAGAGAGCTTGCCTTGGCTGGGAGTTGTGACCAAGAGCCGAGATGATCGAGTTGTAGGAGACAGCGTCTGGAGCTTCTATAATGTAGAACATGTCGTGCAGCTTGTCGAGCATTCCACACTTCCCATACATGCTCAGGAGAGTGTTCTGCAAAGTCAAGTCAGTGTCGAAACCAGTTTGCATCAAGCCACATCAATATTTATTAGAAACACATTTCTTAGTCAAAAATCACATTCATATCTAGATATATTTTTTGAGTTAATACTATATACTAAAAATAAAATTTTATGGTTAATAAAACTTTTAATTAAGGATTTTTATTGTGTTTTAAGATTACAAGAGGATGGAAACTTAGTTTTATATTCTGGTAAAAGATATGCAATTTGGTCATCTAGTACTAATTGCAAATATCTTCATTGTTTTCTAAATACACATATGATTGTGCAAGATGATTATAATTTAGTTTTATATTCAAATTATCAAAAATAGTTTAGTACCCATCTATTGGCATATTTTATTTGGGTTTCAAATACATTTTGTTAATTCATATGGAACATAATAACTAAAAACATTTATCCTGATAAAATCCTATTACGAAAACATTTAGAAAATATAAAAAACTATTTAATATTTGTGATATTAATTATATGTATCAAAAAAATTCTAAACTAAATTTTAAACTAATTATTATTGTAAACACACAATTCCCCTTTGAATAGAAATAAAAATATTTTAAATAAATTTAACGTTCTAAGCTGCTCATTATCTATATTTAATACTATGAATATCAAGATATTTTGTATTTGCAACTAGAAACCTTTTATCAATGTTATAAAACACATTGCCACTTGGTTTTACATTGTAAATAATATTATCTCAAATTTTACCTTTAGTTAAATCTTGAACTCATAATTTGATAGTTACTAAATTTGCAATTTCTTAGGCTCTATATTTTTTATGTAGAAGTGTTTTGATGTAATGATAATAAAATATTGTTATAATAGTTTTAGATTCTAAGGTCTTTTAGTTTTTATCATATTGCTATTTCTTCCCAATTTGATAACTTAATATATAAATATTGTTTGATATATAAACAATTTTCACTGATTGATCTAGCTGTTTATAAAAGTCACTGTATCCTAATTTAAGTGTTTGTGTTGGTTGTTGTTTTGGTCATAAGGAGCTGTTAATTGTCTTTGATCATATACAACAGGATTTGCCATATGCAACATATGCATATACACTTCCTGTCATACAATATCATTAGCTTGGATGATTAGTTTTTCTAAAGCCTTGTTCACATATTGGGAAATGTTAATATGATCCTCTTTTTGACTACATTGTCATCTTTAAAGTTTTGCTAACATCTTCTACAATCATGTTTGCAACATCCCAAGCTTCTTCACAGTCTGGTCTTCTAGATAGTGTTGCTTGGCTTCTTCTATTTGTTCTTGGGCCATCAGTCCTTTGGTTTGTTCCATTGAACTATTAGCCTTTTTTGTATATTACAATATAAGAATATTCTAGGGTGTGAGGGTTATTCCAAAAGAGGGGTACATTCCCTTTCTCCCATACTTCTTAAGGTTTGTTGGAGGATGAATGGAGTTTAAGCATGTTTCCACCATTGAAAGCTCCCACTCCTAACCCAACATTTGCTAAATCTATTGGGAGGATTACTGATCCTCCTTTATAGTTTTTGGTTTTCCTTTGGATTTTCTTCTTTCTAGTGATGTAAGGAGTCTTCCTAGGATGTAGAGGAGCTTGCCCAAGAGCTCCTCTATGTCTTAGGATGTTCCAGGGCCAAATCTTTTGAAGTCTTCTTATATTTTTCGCTTTCTTGCTCATGATGATAAAGTTTTTCATCTTGTGTTGTGTTCATTGATCTTTTTGGAAAATGGAGGTGTTGGGTTTGCAGATCCAGGCTAAACATGTATCTAGAATAAAAAAATTTGCAAATCCATACAAAGATTTTTTCATGCAGCCATTGTTTCTTCATGGTGTGCATGTCAGTCATTCTAGAGCTTGGTGAACACAATATACTCAACCATTTCAATAATTCTTGGTCCCATCAAATAGATCTACTCATGGGCTCCTTGCATACAGATTTTGCCCTAAGATTGAGCTTTCTTTTTAGGCTCTTTAATTTAAGTATAAAGGAAGTATAGGGAGCTTTTATACAAATCTAAGCAACTGAAGAGGATTTTGAATAGCTCTTGGCAAGATCTTTCTAATAAGGTTGAGAACACAACAGCCATAAGATCTTAATGCTTTTTCATTCAAGTATGTGCTCAAGTTTTTAAGTTTGTTCTAGTGGGATTTTTAAGTTTGTCTTTTTTGTGAGATTGTAATGCTTGTTTCTAACTTTCTACTGTTTCATGATTTTTGGAGTTGTTTACAAAAAGTTTGAGGGTCTATTGTGTAATTTGATATTGAATCATAGTGCCCTAAAGTGTATTTAGCTGCATCATCCCTCACGTTTGATCATCTCCTTTTGTTAAGAGACTCTTGATTGAGACAAGAGTAAGATCTTGCATACAATGAGCAGACAAAAGACTATAATGTGTTATAATGAATGATACTATATCACAAAACTCAGTGACTTGAGTATTTTCAACTTTGGACTATCACTTCAACATATACCTAAATATGATATTTGGCATATCTCAGAAGGTTGATACTTGTTTATATTTGTTGTTTAGGTGCTAGTCACATAGAAGTTCTCAATACACTCACTTGGTTCAAGGGAAAGTTCTCTAGGCAATGTTGACTACTAGCTAGTGGTGTTGGTAAACAAGTCTTTGTCATTTATAGTGGATTCCAAAGAGAAGAGTGACTAGAACATTACACTAATAGTAGCTATTATCCACTTCCTCCATAGAGCAATGGACGTTTTAGTGTCTCAGCTTAGGAATATATTAACCAATTTTAAATTTACTTGAGGTACAACTAGATCACTGAAGATGTTGTGGCTTTCCTTTAATTCTTGAAGGGAAAAGTAGCAAATAGGGCATCATTTTTTCTTCCAAATGAGCAACAATTTCTAGTTATGATGATAGATAAGTCCCTTAAGTAATTTAGAATGGAAAAACCAGCTAATAACTCTATATAAAATTGTTTTCATTCATGCAAGAGAGTATTGATGAGTACACCATTGAAGTAGTTCCAGAAGCTTTAATGTAAGTGTTTGATGTAGAGGCTTATAATAGATGAAAAGCCTATGATATCAGCCAGGCCCTATGAGCAGGAGGCAAGAATTTGGATGACATGTATTACAGAATTATTATAATTTAATTAGTACTTAATATATTATTATTATTATTATTTTTATATTTTATCAAATAATTTTTGGTTTGCTTAATGTGGTAGTGGGTATACCTAGAATATGTTTGGATCTTCTGGGATATGCTACTATCTAACCATTGTTATTCATTTAGATTAATCTTGTATTTAGAATTTATAAATATGTTTATAATTACTGATCAATTGTATTAATAAATAATACTAGTATTAAGCAAACTAAGTGTTGCTGCATGCAACATACAATAAATTTTTTTGTGTTCATTGGGAAATATTTAATTTAACATCTGAAATGTAAATATTTAAAGAAGTGTTTAAAAATAATATATAGCATTTAGCTATAATTTTGTTGAAAAAAATCATTTAGGTTTTTCTTCATAACCAAATATATTGATTAGAAAAAATATTAAGTTTGTAATTTTAGGTAGTATTATGAAATCGTTCAACCACATATTTTGGCAGGACATGTTCATCAAGCTTGATATCTATTCGTAAGCTTCCAGACATATGCTCAACTAACTTATGTCATCAAAGATACTACTAATAATAATGCTAACCATAGTTTACATCGTTGACATCTTACTCTCATTACAGCTAAAACTGCCCTGTCCACCGTCCGATTTGGGGCTCCAACGGCGAAGGTCAAAGAGGCTTTTCCATCGCCTGGCATTTTTCCTTGAGAAGCTTTTTCCCTCTCCAAATCTTCTTTTCCATCCCCGACCCGAGCATTTCGCGACTAAACCTGCGGGTGCTCCTCCAGGGAGCACCACCACGCTCGTCGAATGTGACCGAGATCTCTTGCGTCTTGTGCAGATCTGGGACCTCTTCCATGGCTCTGGAGAGAGGCTCATCTCGCAGCCAGAGATGTGAGCACCAAGTTAAGTTGGTCCTGCTAAATGGAGTTTATATACGTACAGCTGACAACAGACCTTAGGAAGGAAGTCCTCGATTACCTGTAGCGTTTACGGTGTCCATGGCAGTGTCCGAAACTTTTCCAACTTCAGTGTCCTTGGCGGTGTCCATAGAGCTTGAAACTTTTCCAACTTCAGCAGCGTCGATAGAGCTTGAAACTTTTCCAGCGTCAGTGTCCACAGCAGAGCTTGAAACTTTTCCACTTTCAGTGTCCATGGCAGAGCTTGAGACTTTTCCACTTTCAGCAGCTGGATTTCCGTCACCTTCAACAGCATCTACGGAATCTCGTTTCTCCTCGTTACCACTTGTTGAAGGTGGAGTTTCTTCCGCCCCCTCTCGCTTTTCACTATCGCCCGCAGCTTCTTTATTCGTTTCCAGAGTCACAGGCTCGTTCGGCTTCAGTTCTTCTGCCCCCCTTGCGTCATTATGGTCGTCGTTCCCTGCCTCATCGTTTTTGTTGTCGCCATGACCTTCTTCCGCCTCGCTCTCTTTTTCCTTTTCCTTCTCCTTCTCCTTTCCTTTCTCATTGACACCTATCTTCTTTTGAACTTCCTCGAACTTGGATGTTGCCCATGGCGCAATGCCAACAGTCGGACTAGGATTGACAGTCCCTATGGTGAGAGAAGATATAGAATCCCGAGCCGAATACCAGCTATGGCCGCACTTCAGGCACTCCAGCTGAAACAAAAACCGTGTCAATGCATACAAAATACAAACAGGAAACCAGACCTGGTATCTATCCCCGTGGGGAGCGTTGATGATGTCCTTAACTCCTACTTGAGGTTCTCCGCATAGAGCACAGCGAACGTCTGCCATCTGTTTGAAAACCTCGATGAGGAAAACCTTCAAACTTATGGCCAGTTACCTGTACAGTTTGAGGTTGTTCGGGTTCTTGCGCACTCTTTTCAGCTGCAGTCATTCCATCCTGGAACGAGAACAGGCATTCGTATCTCAACAGAAAACAAAGAAGAAGAACAAATTCCGACCTTTAGCTCCGAAGGCGTCATATTAACAACAGTCAATGCTTGTAACTCCTTTGCAAGTAGCCTACGAGCCAAAACAGGACCGTTCTGCAACAGAAAATCGCGTTGGCGAAAAAGCGAACTTCACGAAACTTACCCTAAGGTTGTACTCTAAAGATCGCATTTTCAGGTTGAACTTGCGCTCGTCTAACGCCTCATAAGCTGCGGTTTCTAGAGAAGAAACCGCCGAGACCGCTTGCTCGGGAGTAAATTGCGGGTCCTGAATGCAGAACAAGTTAATCCAAACATGAAATAATACAGAAAACCACCTTTTCTCCTGCAGCTTCCGAGCCTTCTTGCTGTGTGGTCATATAGAAGGATTTGATGCTTGACATGATCTTCTCCAACCAGCGGTCCCTTTTGATATTCCCAGTTAGCACATTCATCTGCCGAAGCATCGCATTCACGTCTCCGTCCGCACCAGGAGTTACAGCCTCGACTTTAGCAACACTAGGTGTTTCAACCTCCTCGGCTTTCCCACCTGGAGTGTCGCCTCCCTCCTCCATGGCAGCGATCTCTTCCTTCAAAACAGTTAGTGCTGGAGGATGAGGGATCGTTTTTCTTCGCAGCGTCCTCCTCACAGGCTTGTCCGGTTTGTCGGATTTCTCAGTCACCGCAATCACTTCCTCGACTTCGGCATCCTGAAGACCTCCCAGTGCCTTATGTGTCTTCTGCACAAGCAGGTCGATTTCCTTCTGCTTTGCATCCTCGTAGTCTTTGTCCGTCAAGTTCCAGAGCTTCTTCTCCACGGTGTCATAAACCTTGCGAACTATAAACCCTGGATGCAGGGACCGAGGTGGCGACTTCTTGTGCGACGGTATGAAATGCACGACGCACTTGTGCATCACCGATTCCGCCGGAACTTCGTCCCTGTGGAAGCTGTAAAACAGTTCTCGAGTATCGTCGGCCACCCAGCTACCTCCACCTTTCCTTTCAGCTTCCTCAGGCCGATAGAACCATTGTCCAGTCACAGCAATAGAACCATCCTTGTATTCTTTGATTTCCTGGAAGATGTGAATGCGATAAGGAAAACAAAGCCGCCAAAAAGTTTGAAAAAAACGCACCTTGATAATCGCTACATATGGCTTCTGACTTTTTTCCTCTGGTGTTACTAGCACGGAATCCTCCTGCACATAAGCGTCTTCTATAAGGAAAAGCAAAGTAGATAAAATACAGAAGAGACTTTCACAAGGTTCGAAAAAAAAAGCGAATTTCCAAAAGCACTGGAAAAGAAAACGGAAGAAATGCGATAACGAAAAGAACAAAAACGAGATAAGCTGGGAAACCAAGAGTCGGAGGAATCTAAAGGCACACTAGAAGAAAACTAGAAGTTGAGAAGAGTTTTAGAGGAAATGGAGCATCACTCTAGAACTAGAAAACACTTACCAGGCAGTAGCGAGCACCATCGAGCTCAAATTCCTTGTAGAACTTACGCTCGGACCTCCCGCGGCCAGTCTTCCTGATCACCTCGCCAATTGGCTTCACGTCCATGCTCTGTTCCTCCGGGGCCTCTTCGCTGCTGTTCTCCACCTCTTCGCTCACCTTGGCTGCCTTCCTCTTCACCATCGCTCCCCCCACAAACCCTAAATGCCAACGTGGATGCCACGAGCCTAAAATAGGGTCCATCTTTGTCGCATTTTTCAAATCTTAGTTCTCGGCTACTTCTTCTTGATCCTCTAGCTTTAGCTCGGAGCGCTGTGACCACGGCTGTGACGATGGGCAAGTATCGATCACGCTCACGAGCGTCACTGATCATGATCGCTTGAACGAGGATCATGGACCTCGAGGGAATCCAGCTGAGACATCGAGATCACGTTTGGGATCCCAGGGCCTGGACGATTCAAATTCGTTGTCTTGGTTGTAGGTCGCCATTATCGAGTTCCAAGAGGCTACATTTGCAACGATTCAGCAGGTTCCATGGCGAGAGCTCTGATCATCATGCTCGTGTGCAGATCTGATCAGATCTCCACACGAGCTCCAGTGGGAGCTCATGAAGCTCTCAAGATACAGACAGTAAGCCCGTGAACTCCCAAAAATGCAGGAGCTGCAGTGCATCGTGTCAGGTTGGCTTTTCCAGCCGCCAAAAATGCACCGTTTGCTCCATCGATCTAGACAAGTTTTTCTTTCTGTCATGCTAACGTTTCTTCTCCAGGCCCTCTTCTCCACAAAACTTTCCAACGTTACTTGCACGCTTCCATCAGGTGAGAATCATGTCAAATTTTCTAGTTGTTGATTTATAAACTTACCAGCCCCTTCCTCGTGTTCGTTCTTTTTTACATGAAATTTTCATTCGTTTTCTTTAGCCTGACTCAAATGGCCGGATTGCCAGAACAGCCAGCATATTGTGGAAGTGAGAGTTCGAAGTTGGTCTTTTTCTGTAATTTTCTGACGAGAAGCTTGCAACAACATGATAATCTGTAACACAGCTTATCATGTGTTAGATGTGTATTCCAAGTTCAAGTTTGTTGTGTATATTGTGTTGTGTGTGTGTGTGTGTGCCATTTAATAATGACATTATCTTTATCTTTATAACTTCACAAAGAGAAAGCTCTAAATAGCAGAAGGAGATATAGACTTCTAAATTAGTTTGTTGTGTGTTAATCTATAATTTATATGTAAAGGATGGGAGAAATTTATTATAAATGTTAATGGGTAGAAATTATATTTTATCATTTAATAATTAAGTTACCTAGAAAATTAACTTTGATGCACCTTTCTTAAGTTCAAAGAATTTATATAAATAAGATTCATTTTTGAACTTGTTTTTGTCAGAAATCAAAAGAATTAGGAAATAGCACAAAATGCAAAAAAAAGAGGCTAACTGTAACATTAGCTTCCTTAACAATTGATTTTTTATATTTAATTGAATTAAAAAAGTTTTTTATATGTTTATTATTTTTTCTCTCTATACTTATAATTTAATATTAAAATATGTATAATATAATATTGCAAGACCGAGATCTTTTAATACATTAATACTTGATAATATTAAAAGTACCAACATTATTCCTTATATAACATACATTAAAATTTTATGTGTAAAATCACACTCTATAATTTATAAAGTTATTGAAATCCTTAAATTAAAGTTATTATTAACTTCTTATAGCACTTAAATATTTTATTTCCTTTTAAAATAAAATGCAAATATATCAAACATTTTGTTACTATTTATTTTGGTGTGAAAATCATCTGGTTTTTCTTCTATCTTAAGCATTAACAAATTTAATTCTTAATTAATATGAATAAAAACTAATGTTTTAAATGACTACTATAAATCTAGCATTTCACAAAAAATAACTATAAAGTAAGACTATATTGTTAAATTAAAATATTATGGTTTAATTGTGCAATATATAGTTTATAAGTATAGTTCTTTAATCACTTAAATCATAATACAATATATTCTATTAAAAGAGTACATACAATAATGAGTTAGAGCATCTCACCTTTACAATGCAATGGCAGCTCAAGGGACAAGCATTCTCAACACAAAGTGTACTCATAGGTATGGCACTGCTAGTTCTTCCCTACTGTGAGCTGCAAGGGGAATTCTAGCAGATTAGAAGCAATCTTAGAGCTGCTTCTCCAGCAAGTTGGTGCATTGTCATTACATTTATCCAACACTTTTTTTCACCATCAAACTTTGCAGTAAGAAGCACAGAATCTAAATCCAGTGCTTTGTTAAAGACTCATAGTGAGTCTTAAAGAGGGATGCCAGAATGCATGTTATTACTTTCTTCCTCACATAAGTGTCTTTTGCTGTTCAAACTAGTTCACTCTAACTCTTGTTCTTGATCACTTAATGCTGGGATTGATCGAGGTTGATTGAGGGAGTCTGAGGTGCTGGAGAAAATTCCAACTATGTTTATGTGAAGTTCACAAGCTGGCTATCTGCAAACCATAGTCATGGCTCTCAAGGTAAACAAAAGAGGTTTAATCTTTTTCTTTCATGCACTAGCCAAGGAAACTTCTCTCCAGGTTGAGAACATCTCCTCACCAGGATGAAGGAGCAAGTGGAGCAGAATCTCATCACTTACAACACTGTTGTAACTAGCTCCAATGGTATCTTTAACTGAATCTTTTCATGCAGATGTGTCCAGCTGGATCTCATCAAGCACAACATGCTCCTCTAGAGCCTCGTGATTTACTGCAAAGTGAGCAACACATGGATAGAAATATCCAGAGCCAAGAGCTGTGCAGAGCTTCAATATAGAATGAGAGTCTAACAGTTGGGATGTCATCAAAAGCGCATGCAACACATGCTTTTCCACTTCTTGTCATCTTGTGACAAGGGACAAGGGAGTTTGATCATTGTAAATGGCAAGTACTTCTTGCTTCTTAAATAATGGGAGCTTGATCATTGAAAATGGAAGGACAATGCATGTTTGGAAGCCATCGGAGGATGTCCTCAAGTCTCTACTAGAAGGAGGCAGTGACCAAGAGGACTAGCCTTTCCTAGTCCCTATTGCAGGTCTAGGACTCATTCGAAGATGAGCTAGTGCACTTGTCTCGTGTGGGAGCCAAAGTAGCACACTCCTGCCTTGAGTTGGAGGATGTTCACACCTCGCATAGAGCTACGAGTTGGAGTATTATCACATTTGGACACTATTTTGGCACTAAAGGCACGTTGGTGGTGGAGTGCTCCATGGCTTCAAGCTTCGTGGTGGAGTCACCAGGGAGGCAGACAGCCCATGAGCAATGTCAGGTGTTCGTGCTCATAGTTTCACTAGTTGCTCTAAGAGTGCGCTCTCAATGTTGTTTTGATCCCTTTGGGACTGAGGTAATGTATATACATGTTCAGTGATCTCAGGCAGTGGTGGAAGGTACCCAGTACCATGGCTGCTGTGATCGGAGGTGCAGCCAAAGGTAGAAGAGCACTTAGGGGAGAGCATGCAATCTCCCTACACTTGCTACCATCAGCAAGGGCATGTGCTGTGAGATTCAGGGAAGCATCATTCCCCTTTTTTTGCTTTTGTTGTGTACTCACTCTCTTGTTAGCAGCATAGAGAGCAGCCGCAAGGGAGTCATAGCATCAATTTGGGCTCCCAAGGTTGTGGAGTGCAAGGTAGGGACCTCAGCATTCGGCTCCCACGAGGAGGACTGTTGCAAGGTTGGGGTCTTGGAGCATGCATGGTAGCAAGCCAAGACAGGAAACGGCCCTTTGTATTAATAGCCATAACACTGCTGCATAAGGCAGCAAGTGAGCCACACAAAGCAGCAGCCTAATAGGATGAGAACTGTGAGATAGAAGTGGTGGACATTTCTAGTTTGGGAGATGGCCAGGTCCTGGAAAAAGCTGGAAGTGTAAGCCATACTAGAGGTGAAGTGTCCATTGAGAGTGGAGATGAGGACGAAGCTACCTCCCCCCACCCACTTGCATGGTCACTAGCTGGAGTGCAGGAGCTTCATGAGAGTCTCAGGCTAGTCACAACTCAGGAAGGCTTGCGGGGAATCATCCCAAGCACTTTTGCAGCTAAAGGGATTCACAAGGATGGATGTTTCACAGAAGCGCAGGAGCAGTGCACCAAGATCAGGTCAGGAGTCACCACTAGAGCGGTGGCATGTGCAGCAGCAGCAGAGCCAGAGCGTGGGACAGGAGAACTCAAGTCTGCCCCACCCAGAACGACCAAAAATAGAGAGGAACAGGGCCCTAGTGTGGATGCACTTCTGTCCTGTAGGATCAACATGGAGACCTCACTAGAAGGTGAGTTCACAATCCCTCACTCAGAGACACAACCAAGCCAAGAGCTCTCCAGGGAGATTGACCGTTCAACTGTGGCCCCAAGGCTGAACAAGGAACAGCCACTCCGGACACTAAAGTTTGCCCATAGATGCTTGTCGGACCTGACAAACAAGCCTAGAGCTTCACTTCCATCTTCAATAGCTTGTTCCTCTAGTGTGAGGCCCCGATCTAGCTCACTGCCTTTAGTGGCAAGGCTCTACACTGACTCAAGACAGGTTGGTGACAGCATAGATTGTCTACACTTGTTCTTGCCGAACCTTGCAAGTGGTGGTATAGTCTTTTGGAAGAGTGAGAGGTTCATAGAATAGGTGCATCATGAGTCGACACAGTGAATCCAACAGGAAGTCTTGCAGCTAACTCACCTACTGGATGACGTGGAAGACATGGAGAACATCTCACTGTGGGATGTATGTTGAGCAGCTCTTGGAATTCTAACGAAGAACCTCAAGACTCAGAAGGGCTGGGCAGCAGGCACACTACCTGCTTGCGAGAATGCGTCAAGCTCATGCCTAGTTGGTGGGAACCCCTCGTACCACCGAGAGACTCTTGTAGACAAGGCTGGGCTCACCCCTGATCCAGTACATGCAACCCTCTCATAACGTGAACGGGGAAACACCTGGTCATGCAGAAGTGCACAAGGTGGCAGCAGCAGGAGAAGGTGGAAGCAACTTGGTCCACGACAACACGAGAGGAAAGGCTGTCCTGGTTAAGCTGGCCAAGACTATGCAAAGAGCAGTAGCAAAGAAGGAAGAGGAACTCTGTAAGAAGGCATTGATTGTTGTTTTCAAGGGGAAGTTCGCAACAGGCCACATGGCCAACGACTG